TCATGCCGAAGCCTTTACTAAAGCCTTATCTGGTTCAGCCACACCTAGCAGTCTGGTAAATTCTTTCCCAGAGGGCAATAGACCTACTGGGTGGTGTCAAGGCCTATAATACTGTACTATCTGTTATCAGAAGATAAAGTTTCCTCAAAACAAGTTTTTTAAGAACTGTTAAAAGGAGATGTTTTATTGGAAAGTTATAGTTCTCATGTAAACCTAAGTGTTTGGAATAATTTATCATGTCCATTTCAGACAAGGACAAATGGATAAGAAATGAAGAATCTGAAGAATCTTGTGAATTTACCAGAAATGTTCATGTTTGGGAATTACCCTTAATTCCTGTATAATTCCTTTCCTATTTCCCTTCCTCTCCATTCAGTTTCTTCAGTTTTCTATGGTTTGGGGTGGAGGGGTGGGCGGCAAAAGATATGGTATGGCTGTATAAAAGATGCCCTCTAGGGAATCTGACAAAGCCTAAGCTGCAGACAGAGTCAGCTTGACAGTAGGAACTAAAAGAGGAGAAACTGCTCTTTGCAGATGGGGAAAACTGCCCAGGTAGATTCCCCTGCCAGAGGGGAAATTAAACTTCCACTTGCTGTCTTGCTTTGCTTTTAAGGTTCTACCTGTCAGCTGTGGTTTCCACATAAATTTACCAATTTCCATTGTAAAGGCAAAAATCTGCATTTGTAAAAAGTGGTGAGAGTCAGATATTCAAGGGCATAACATACTTCATATAAGCCAAATTTTTACTGGATTCTTAATATGTCTTTGCCCATGAAGATTTAAACAAGAGCAAGACCATGCTGGTTCAAAGGAAATCTTGTGACTCCACATCAGAATAGTGATAATGCAATGCAGTAATATACACTGTGTAAACTAAGATGGGAGTTCAGTGAGCTTTGAAAAGAGCAGGAGATATAAGTGGTTAGGAACTCAGGGCGTGGTGGCAAAATATGCTTTAGAGGTTAAAGTTAGAAACTGGTGATGAACCAAAGATAATCTCTTTGCCACTGCCGAGTTTATGTTGGTGAGCATGAGAACTTAATGCTCCCACTTCAGAAGGCTGCTGTGATGATGGCTTAGGGGAGCTGTACTTGGCTTCTGGCATGTAATCAATTCATAAGAAATGGGCAGCAATGCAATTGCTTATTATATTTTGAGCTGGATCTTAAAGAGTGGACAAGATTGTAGCAGGAGGTGGCAGCAGAGGGTAAGGTGTTTCAGGCTGAGCAGCAGCTGTTACTGCTGGTGTGTGTGTGTGTGTGTGTGT